ACACACACACACACACACACATTCTCACACACACACGACTCACCTTGGTGGGCTTTAATCTGGGGCAGGATGCTGTGAAGAATTTCTAATGACTTCCTGTGATATTCTGCCTGTGTTTCTATCAGCTGCAGAAGGAGACAGCAGGAAACAATAATAAACAATCCCTGGCCAGTGTGTACCATACAATATAATGCAACTTATGCTATAAGATAACAGAAAACCAATATCTGATGTATTCCTCCACTGGCATCATATCTTGATTACATTATAATTATGATGTATGCAGATAATAAGACATAATATACTTACTGTCTGAAAATAATTTGCATAGTCTATTTCTTTGGCCACAAAATTGTACATATCTGCTGACAGTTGATCCTGAAACAGAGAGAAAATGAGAAACCGTCCTATAAGAAATGACTTCAAGTCCCATTTATCACTGATACATCCTCCTGGCAATGCTGTCTATTTGTGCCTATACATGCAGTGGGGTTAAAAATCAAATGTAGAGCAAAGGGACTGGAGGAAGGAATAATATAAGTGACTCTGATTGGTGACTCACCCTGCAAATCTCCATCCGATTGGCTGCCTCTTCCATCTCCTCTCTGAGGGACTCGGACTTGGCGCCTGGCTGCAGCGTGCTCGGGTGACTGGATGACTTGGACGACTGCTGAAATCTATGGGAATTCCAAAGAAGGAAAGGCCATTGCATTGAATAGGTCACACTTCCTGCACACACATTTAAAAGCTTGTTATTATAAGCCATTATCTTAAAATTTAATGAGCAAGAGCAGGGCCCTCACCTTGTCCGTGAGGAGTCCATGTCCAAGACGAGTTTTGCTAAGTGCTTCCTCTGTTTCTGGATGTTGGGGATGTCCACCTACAAAAGGAAATGAAGCGGAGTATTACAGTCAGCTCAGAGAATCAAAGTACAGCCCTTTTATGTAAATCACGGCCGCGCTCTGCTTGCAAAAAGTGCGGCTCATAATTCAGCCATATCGGGGGGGTGCTGTAGCTAAATTGGTGCATTAAGCAGCAGCAGTGCCCCCCCTCACCTCGGCGAGCACGTAGAGAGGCTCCACCACGTCTCTCTCTATCTGGAACTCAAACTGGATGAGCTCCTGGGCCAACTTCTCCTCCGTCTCCCCACACATCTTCAGCATCTTCCTGTTTGGTGACAGACAAACACAACGTCAGAGGCAATCAGCTACAATCATAATGGAGACAAGGGTAATGAGGACACCAAAGAAGACAATAGCCAAATCAATAATTAAAGATGACCGTGTGTGTGAGTGTGTGTTAACTACACTGACTTACCCCAGGAGAGAGTCATCTCCCAACACTGCAGCCCCTTCTACCAAACACTGTGCCAGGATCGTGAGTGGTAGTTTTTTCTGTTAGCAGAGAAAATCATTAGAGCTTCTGTAAGATCTATTAAACATTATCCATAACCTTATGTCGCATTACCACACATCACTTGCATTAGTAGTCAGTGTCTGAGGGAAAGATGGATGCAGGTACTCACAGACGGTGACTTGACAGACCTCTTCTCCACATCAGTGCCCTGCTGACCCTGCAGGCAGGCAGTGAGCTTCTTGTGAGTGCTGTGTGTCACCTGCTTGACCAGATCCAGACGCTTCTCCACCTGCAAGAACACACACACACATAATTATAAACACTATACTTATAAT